GCAGCACACTGGAAAGTCTGTCTTGCAACCCAGTTCTGTCTCCTCACTCGGAGTTGACTGACTCCAGTATAAACATTCCCTTTCTGTACTGCAGGATAGTGAATGGTGTCTGTCAAGGAAGAGGACCAAAGGAAGGAACCTTTTGTCCATGAGAAAGTCACCACAGGAAGGTTAAAGCCAGTGGCAAGACAGCCAAGAGTGACCATATCTCCGCTCTGAGAACCACATGTTATCAGGGGAAACACAGTGGGTCGACTTGAAGTGGCTAAGAAAGGGGAAACAATAATAATTAATATACCACAATGGCAAAACAATAATAAAGCACACATTTTCACCTAAGATTAATTAAAGATAGATAATAATTAGACATAGATAGATAAAGATAGACTTTAGCCTTTAAATGTTTATCATTTCAAATGCCCCAAATCCCAATTTGTTCATTAGCCTCTGTCAGTGCTATTATATATATTACTGTTGTTATAAGTTCCAGATTTTGTTAGTGTATAGATCATTTTCTAAATTATTTTAAATGCAGAATGTGGACAAAAAACAATAAAAAAAATGAAATAAATAAAAGAATAACATAAAGTTAGTAAACTTCGTTTCACAGTGTTGATGGCAAACTCTTTTAAGAACACATTAAATTTGACCCCTTTCCCCAATAGTCTACAGCACCGTATCACAGTACTGAATATACTTAGTTCTCAGTATAAAAATGCTAAACTACTAATGATACACAGAAGCAATTACTTCTGGGATTAATTACTTCAACAGCAGTTAATTAATACTTCTGGGATTAATTGTTGTTGAAGTAATTAATTATTACATTATATTATATTATATTAATTATAATTTATTATAAAATCCTATCAAATCATCCAAAATATGCTATCTGTTAATAATAATGGATTTTTATAGCGCTTTTCGAGACCCTTAAAGCACTTTACACTCTACAAGACCATTTCGACAATATCACATTTTTATAGCAAAAGTATATGAACACAATTCAAATTTGAAGTGACACTGGCAAAAAGTCTGTGAAGGTTCTCAGTCATCCAGGTCATCGTAATGTAAGGAACTTGGAAAGAAAAGCGTCTGGACTTCTTTATGTTGCTTGAACTTGAACAAAAGTAACTTGAACAAGCAACTTAAAGAAGTCCAGACACTTTTCTTTCCAAGCTCCTTAGACCACACTGACAAAAAGTAAAATTAGAATGTATCCAATGGAAACATATCTTAACTGATGACGCTGTAACTGGAGAGCCATTTTATAAGTCTTAGAGCCATTTGAAATAGTTAATGGATACTTTTCTTACTTCTCACAAAATTGGTCTGAAATTTTTTTTATTTTTAACATATTCTGTAACAAACTACAAAAATTGTTGAAATAAGTACTTAATTTATCAAATTTATCATTATAGTTGTAAACAAATGAAAATGAATACATTGTATCGTACCGGGGGATCAGGAATTTCTCTCTTTAGCAAGAAAGATAACAATTTATACCTGATGTGACGGTGACTGTCGTGCCCTTTCCCCAGGAGTCATAAGCGTAGTCACAGTCTAACAACTTACTGACAACTGCATACAAAAACCTTACGCTCCATCTTATAAATTCTACAATCTGATATATTCTCCAGTTAATTCAAAAGACTGAACAAAACCTGATTTTCACCACCAACATTTAAACCAAGTCTGTAAATTATAAGACATTTATCCCTTAGTAGTCCATAAATGACGGTACTGAATTTTCTCACAACCACAACATTTCTTAAAAAAAATAAAATCAACATTTAAATTAGAATCATAAATTAAAATGAAAGAATTAGATCACCTTACCTGATGTAACTGTAACCATTGTACTTCCCCCAGTAGTCAAAAGCCCAGTTATCACACTTAACAGAGTCTTTTCACACCTCTCACAAAAACTAACTTTTGTGATATGGCATTACTTGGTGACATCATTTAACTTTGGAAATAATTTGAATCACTTTCAACTAAATAATTGCTTATTATTACATGACCTGGAACTTTTAATTCCATTATTTTCCAATAATGGAATTCTCTTGGAATTAAAGAGAAAGAAACACAAGATTCTTTCTCTTTTCTCTTTATCAGATTTAATTAAGCAGGAAAAAAAGTTAGTTATAAGAATAATGTTAAAATTCATACCTGAACTGATAGTGACCATTGTGCCTTTTCCCCAGTAGTCAAAAGAATGGCTACAATCAAAATTATTATTTACAGCTCAAAACAAAAACCTGTTCGCACATTTCTGTGTTTTTCCATATTATTTTACGATAACAAAATAATGTGGAATACTACTGCAAATAGAGATTTTGAATTCTTAAAAATAATACCTAAGTTTTAACCATCAAAGATTCAACTGAGAGTACAAATTATAGGCTTGTAATAATATAGAAATTAGTATGAAAAACAATGTTTGTTTGAAAAAACAACAACACAGTCTTTAAATTTAAATCTTAACATTTCCCCAGGGGTCAAAAGCGTTGTCATAGTGTAATATTTCAACATATCCAATGTACAAAAATAACTAGCTCCAAGTTCTAAATGTGCCCAATTATACAGTGAAAGTTCACTTCAATTCACTGACAGACTGTCTTCAGTTTTCCTTGAGCCTTGTGTTGACCTTGTTGCCACCTTCTTAGACTCATGATACACCTTCATGTCTAATTCTGTCTCAGATTGGTGTCCTGGGGTGCCTGATGTGCTCACTGGAGTGCAAGGAGGGCTCCACTTCCACTGTAACGGCTTCAAAGTGAGAACAAAGTTAGCTAGGTAGTTAGCTTTCAGCAAGCCAAAATATATGCTAAATATATTTAGAATTTAAACATTATTAATCATGCAATTAATCATGCAATTTATTTGAGCAGTCTTGTAGGAATGGAGTCTAAATGGCATAATCATGGTTTTGAGGTAGAAATGATTGAAGTTAACTCAGAATGATTAATACGAGAGAAATAGTCTAAACTTCAGAAGTCATTAAAGAAAACATGAAACACTACAACTATAAAGGCTAATTCAGAGATAAGTGAGTAGTAAGTTAAGAGATAAGTGTTAAAAGTTTTTAGAACATATTTAGCGCCATCTTGTGTCAGTTACATTACATACATTACATCACCGTGTTGGTCGGTTGCTGGTTATAGACTTACATTAGTTTATGTTTGCTAACTCATAATAGAACAAATAACTATTAAATAGAAAAGGAGACTAAAACTAAAAATCTGTTTTTGTTCTTCATATTTTGATGAACACTCATTCAAGAAATTCATGAAATTCATGAAAAGTTAAAGTTAAAGCCATACGTGACCTGGAACTTTGACTCTTTGTCAGCGTGACTACAGTGGTCAAGATAAACCTGTTGTTGTTTCTGTTTTCTATGACCAGTGTTGAATAGTGCTAGCTTTTAGGAGGGCATTTTTTAAATTCTTTTTTTAGACTAAAAGGTATTTTCTCTCTTTTGGACACTGGGACCTTCACACATGTTACCACGATTTGATAATAACTGTGACTTAAACAGATACCTGGAAACTCTCAGCAATTAGTAATTTGTTCCTACATGACCTTAAAAAACTGAAATGCAAAAATCAGAAGCAGACTTAATTATGAGGCAAAGCCATGTTGAATATCAGTTTGAAGTGGAAAATGTCCTGTGATAGGATTTTATTTCATTTATTTATTTATTGTGTTTCTAAACCCCAATCATCCGTACTAACCACTTTCCTGTGCAGACAATGGGACTCATTGTGACATCTTATTTTGCAGTAAGCTTTCTTTTTTCCTATGTCATAATTACTACATCCACTAGAGTGCAGTGGTACACTGTTGTTAGACCCTCATTTCTGCTTCCTCCAGTAAATGATCCAGTCATGTTTTAATGGGAGAAAGGTCCCTGGCATGATGCAGTTTTCATGGTTGGATTGCGTTTGCCTCTGGATTCATATTTTTCTCACTGTGATGTTTTGAGGTATGAAATTACTTTATTTGCTGTAGTTCATCATTTGTTTTCATAAGAGAAAACACTCAGTGGGATTTCTTGAATAAAGATAAAGCTGTAGCATCAATAACAAGAGCAGATAAAATACTGAGACACACAGACTTCAGGATAAAGGGAAGTGGTTTGGGTAATATTGGGGGTACATTCCCTCACATAGTCTGCAAATTGGCGCTTTGAGAATCCATCCTACAGTCCAATTTAATATATGCATGTATACATTCTACTGGTGGATTATTAGCTCATGTAGGATCTTTGGTTTAAATTCATCATTGTTATGTAAGGAAACAGGGAAGGGTTCAGGTAAGCACCTGGGGGGATGTTGTTTGGTGGGGGTGTCAGACATGGAGACGCTGTCAGGCCTTCTGCTGGGCATGGTGCCCTGCTTCCTTGCTGCTGGGCCCTTGCCACTTAGACTGGCAGCAGCATGTTGTTCATTAGCAACAGCTTCACAGATTTGGGCTGGCTGCCACAGGGTCTTCAGCCAATCGGGGCAACACACTGCCAGATCATTTCAGAGGCAGCCAATAGTAAGCCTTAATTTGTTTTGTGTCATCCCTCCCAAATGTGAATTCCTCCAAACCCACAAGGTACACAAATGCACATGGAAACACAATCTAGGCTTTCACTCAAAGACAGAGTTCACAGATTTACACTGACTCTGTGTATGTCTGGAAAGAGGAAGAGTAATATAAACATTCTTTGTGCTTTCAAATGAATGCACCTCTTCATAACACCACCGCCTTCCCATCGCATCTGTCAGCATCTTTAAATTATGATCAGCGTAGGTTTTCACATAGAGGTGGCACCCATATTGCTGCTACTACACATGGAGCTTTGTCTCACTCTTGTGGAAAATCCAAGTAATACAACATGATAGTGCACAACACAATTTTCCAAAGATAAACAGTTTTATATTAGTATGTGTCATTACTTGTATTCTGTAAGGCAACTTAGCATTTTTCTTAATTCAAGAAGAACTGAAGATAGTTATTTGTTTTCTTTATTGATTTTTAATGCATTTTCTCACTTGTCTTACATACATGTCACATCTAGCACAAAACTAAAACACAAGTGCCAAAAATTGTAAAGCATAAACAATGCAATCAATAATAATGGAAAAACAAAGCATTATATGTTCAAACTAGTCAGGACAGGTGCTGTTCAAACCCCCAGAACTTAGACATTTCAGTCATAATACATGAACCGTCCTGTGAACATCATGATTTAGTCTGAAAGAAAAAATGAGAAAGAAAATGTAATTAGTGACAACTTTGTATTGTTTTGTCTTGAAATAAAAAGTGTATTAAAGTGTAATAGAAACAACAACATTTTATTATTATTATTATAATATAAATTTATACATTTGTCATATTTGAAAGTTCAACTAAGCACCAAATGGAATGTCATAATACAGACTTAGAAGCTGGGAAAGAAAGTAACTGGACTCCTTTAGGTTTTGTGAAGATGTTTCACCTCTCCTTCAAATGACTTCTTGAGTTCTTAAACTAGATGGTGGGGAGTTCCAGGTATTTAAACACTAGTGAGTGTTGTCTCTTAAGGGGGTCATTGACCGATATTAGCCATGTGCCTCATCATTTGATCCAATGAATGAAAAAAGTAATTATCACCATAGCTTTTTGATAAACCACTGTGAGACCTCACCCAGTCATATGACCTATTGAGGTCACCTGAGGGAAGATGTGAGTGGGGGTTTAGGCACTCGGTGTGATCTCAACACTGCCAAGAGTGATCTTTATCCTTTAGGTGGAGATTTAAAGCTAACTCTTGCAATGCTGGTAAAGGACAACCTGTGCCAAGGTTTAAATACTGGGGACTCTCCATCGTTTGGTTTTAGAACTGAAAAAACATCTTGGATGACAGGCGAAACCTCTTCATATAACTTAAAAAAAGTCAAGTTGCTTTCTTTCCAATCTCCTTAGACTATCATGACATGGATAACTGAAAGCCGACATAGACATAATACAGACTGGAATGTCAGATTAGAAAGGTGTGTCACAATCATCACAGCATCATACTATAATGACAGTGCATGTACATATTTTTATGCTCCCTGTCTCCCTTGTACAGATAATAATAACAATAATTATAATAATCTTCATGGTTCAAATGAAAAGCTAGACTGGAATCTTACTTTTAAACAATCAAATGACAAGTGCTTACCTTATATAATGTAACTATGATACCATATATGGTGGCGATGATGAAAAAACCAATGAGGGTGAAAGCCACATTCCAGCTTTCCTCAGCTGTGTCTTCATTCACATCAGGATGCACAATGTTGTCAAATAAATTACAATATTTCAGCGTATCTGTGAATAATGTATACATTTGGTTATTTATCACTTACTTGACATTATTATACTAACAAAGAAGCTGAAAAGAGATTGGAAAAATAATGGACTTTACATGTCCAGTTTGTTAAAATGAATATAATTGAAATAATAGGTAAATATTAAATGCTAAATGGCAGCTCACCAAACACATCAGTTATATTGTCTTCAACAGGCGCTTTAGATGACTCATGTGTGACAACACAGGAATACATTGACCTTTTGTCTTCAGTTTTGGATATGTTTAGTCTGCTGCTCATAGAGTAAGAGCTGCTCCCTGAGTATTTCCATGGAGGACTGTTAACGTAATGTGAGGATGCGAGAGTCTGGCCATCTTCTTCCCAGTGCACTATGATGTTAGCAGGGAAAAATCCAGACACTAGGCAAACAAGCATTAGGATGTCAGACTTAGAAAGGTCAGAGGCAGTTGGTTGTATTATCTTCACTGTTGGCTCACGGAAGACTTGAAAAACACAAAAGGAAGAGAACCATAAAAATACAGTCACAACCAGAGGAACATGAAGTTTAGAAAGATTTGTTAAATTTCTAATATTACCTTTGCTTTTGCTTATATGGTCTTCATTCCCCTGATCGGAACATGGATGTTTTCCTTCACAAGAAATGTTTGTATGTGCATCCCAATCCACTGCTGACACATTAAGGAAGCTCTGCCGAGTCTCTGTTCTATTGTTATGACTCACTGGGGGATTAGTTAGGACATCATAATCCTCAGGAATTTTGCTGCCACCTACTCTCCAAGTGATGGAGAAATCATTAAGATTAAGGCCGACCAGAAGACAGGTAATAGTCACATGTCCTTTGTTCTCGGTCAGCTGTGGCAGTGGTCCCTGGACATAAACCCCAACTAGCTGTGATGATGATGGAGTTTCTATAAAAAATATAATTAATTTTAAAAAATGAATACAGAAATAAATGAAAATAATATGCAACAACCATGGAGCAGTTATAAAATGTCTCATATCCAAATTTCTAATTTAAAAATAGTTTTATTGTATTCTTAATGATTATCACAATAAGAGAATTTTCACTGTACCTGAACAGAGACTGATTGTTTTTGTGATACGTGTGTTCAGAGACCTGTCAGACACTTCACAGGTGAAATTATTCCCTTTTTTCCACTCAGATTGATCAATTACAAGTTGACTCGTTACTCTAACACGT